ACATAGCCATTACACTAACTGCTGGTCCCACAAAATGAATATTTCAACAGGTGAATATTTCTCCCTAATCCAGTTGTTAAAACTATAAAATATCTTCAACAGATAATACCACATGTCTTTGTCCCATTAATGCTTTGCATATATATTTTTACATACATGCATATTTTTAACCCTGCATGGCCTTTTTAACCTTTTGTAAAAATTAAATATTATCTATCATGAGCTAACAGTCCTGTCTTTTTATCTAGATGCCTGTAACATCAGCCTTCTATGTCACGCATCTTCCTACTTTGTTCTGTCAGTGACCTTGTCTGCTCTGTGCATGAGAATTATTTTCCCAATTAGACAGTCCTGAATAGAAAAATAAAAGCTTGCCTCTTTCTTTCAACCCCTAATAGAGTCATACATATGGCAGCCAGCTGAATTTCTTATGACTGAAAATCCATTCCCTCTTCCTTCTGTCTAAGATAAGAAATGGATGCAGAGGAGAGAAAGACAGTTCATGGGTGTCTTCTTGTAGTTCTTTAAGCTTTCTTTCCCTTAAAGTTTGACTTGTAAACAATGAAGGCTTACTGTAAGCGTATTCCTTTCCAGGGATCCATTGCATCATCAGCCACCAAATAGAGCTGGAGCTCCCGAGGAGTCTTTGGAGTGTCCTGCAGAGTTGAAACCACATGGCCCTCAGGCCCCTGCCATACCTAGACCCCCTAGTAACCCACTGGCCAGAGGAACTCTGAAAACGAGCAATTTGCCAGAAGAATTGCGTAAGTTATTTGCAAGGTTGTTTTTTCTTTTTCTCAGGTCTTGTACTCTGAGAGTACTTCACCACTCATCTATAGTCTCAGAGAAAAATATTTCTGTTACAAAAATGTACTTCTCATGTATACAGTCCAATGAATTTTATTTTTTGCTTAAAAAGTAACCAGCATTGGGGCCAGCAGGTGGCATGATAGTTAAGGGGCACCGGACTCCCACATGGCCAACCACGGTTCAAGTCCTGGACCTGGTGGCTTGCTCTCTCACTTTCTCTCTTTCTTTCTCTCTCT